GGGGCGGGCAGTTAGGGGTGATCAGGCTGGCAGGGGAGGGCAGTTAGGGGCAATCAGGCCAGCAGGGGAGCAGTTAGGCGTCGATCAGGCTGGCAGGCAGAAGCGGTTAGGGGCAATCAGGCAGGCAGGCAGGCGAGCGGTTGGGAGCCAGCAGTCCTAGATTGTGTGAGGGATCCCAGATTGGAGAGGGTGCAGGCGGGTTGAGGGACACACACCCCCCCATGCACGAATTTCATGCACTGGGACTCTAACTGTACATAAAAAATTAGATTACATGCTATGTTTAATTTCTTCAAAACCAGAAGAAATAAGTGCTTTTAATCCTTAGCTCAAGTTGAAATAGAGGAAAGAAACAAAAAGAAAAGTACAGAAAAGACAAAAAAATTAGAGACACATAGCAACAGAACAGAGTATTAAAAGCCATCAAAGGTTTTAAAGAATGTGATTTAGGGACTAACAAAAGCAAAAGCGGCTACAAAGGCAAAGAGCAGAATACAAATAGAAGCAGCATCCACTTCAATAACCTCTAGTGATGACAGATAATGCAAGAAATTTTTAGAGCAAGTAAATCCTAGAATATCTCATTGGGTTTTTATATCATTTCTCCCATCTACCATATTCTACATATCTAAATTAACAAGGAACAAGGAAATACATTCCTAACCCTTAGAGATCAATAAAAAGCAAATTAGGCTCAATATGTGCTTTGTTTTCTGTGGCAAGTATTGGTTTAACAAAAGTTTTAATTGATCTCTGAGATTTTCATTTTTTTAAAAGGTTAAAATACAATTCTGATTCCGCACCTACCTTCTACATCTAATTTTCCTAACTACTTAGAATAATAAATTTAGTCAGAAACACAGACAATAGTGTGGGGAAGACCTGGGTTGGGGTGGGGTTTAGGTGGAGGGGGGTGAAGAAAATACAAAAAAAAATTTAGTCAAAAATATAGATGTAATCAGTTCATACAGAGATTTCTATTTCTAAAAAACATTTTCTAGAAATCTCTCAATATGCATA